GGAATGAGGGCACTGAAGACCCACCTTCTCTGTCATCTACAGATGGGAGCAGGAAGCTCATATACCTGCAGGAGCTGCCCGGGACGGACCACTGCGTCTTTTACTGCAAAGACCAGCGCCATGGGGGTCTGTTCCGCATGGGAGAGCTCATGGGTGAGGGCCCGCTGGGGCCTGCATGTCCTGACCCACGGTCTCTGCCTCCAGAAGCCAGTGGAACCGGCATCACCATGCCCTGGCATGGGGGAAAGGGGAAGCCCCCTGCACTGGCCTTCATGTGCCGGGCACTGAGCGCTGCCCTTGGCCGCTGGTCCAAGTTCCTGAAGTGGGAATGGGGCGGGCCAGGCAGGGACAGACATGGCCCTTGGTGACATGAACCTGCCAAGGGCCACTTCTGGGGTCTCGGGTATAGGAGTGTCATCTTACGGCGGAGGTAGTGTCCTGACAGAGCCCCTCATGGGCCAGGGACCCTCCAGGGCAGGAGAGCAGCCAGTCCCTCTGGGACACAAGGTCCCTCCAGGTGAGGGCTGTGACCCTACAGAGTGGCTGTGGGAGCTTCCCAGGTCCCCTGGGGTTGCTCAGTGGCTTGGATAGTCCCCGCCACTGTCCCCCTTCCTGGGGACCTTTCAGCTGGGCCATGGCCGCCTCCTCTGTCCCCAGCCCCACCCTCAAACTCTGGTCCCCTCTTGGGCCTCCCCTCCCCGCGTCCCAGTGCTGGGCCATGGCCGTCTCCTTTCCGCATCTGCTGCCTGCAGGGCCGGGCCGCTGTCCCCACCTCTGCTGACCTGGTCACCTCACCTGCAGGTCGGAATCCTGACACCAACCTGGAGGCCCTGGAAGAATTTAAGAAACTCGTGCAGCGCAAGGGACTCTCAGAGGGGAATATTTTCATGCCCCTACAGATGGGTGAGAGGATGTATGTGCCCTGTCCCCCGTCCCCCATGTGCCCCATGTGCCTCTCTGTGACCTCCAGTGTCCCATGACCCCCGTGTCCCTGTGTGCCCCAAGTCTCCTCACAGGGGCTCCTGCTTAGGGTCCTTGTCGTGGCAGGGTCTGAGCTCTGGGCTGTGACGGGGTCTGGGCCCTGGGCTGTGACGGGTTCTGGGCTCTGGGCTGTGACAGGGTCTGGGCCCTGGGCCAGGGCATCTTCCCATCACTGGGTTTTTCTTGGTCTCTGCAGGAAGCTGCGTTCCCGAACACTAGGGTGAGTGGGTCTTGCTCCTAGGGTTCGAGGGTCCGTCTGCTCTGGCCCCTGCCATCCCACACAGGCAGGGAGACCCCCGGGCCCAGGCAGGAGGTCGGCACCTTGGAGTCTGCCCACCCGCAATTCCTGGGACTTTTGGGAAGTCCTTTCTTTCACCTGCCCCTGGGCCTGCCAGCCCGAGTGAGGGTCCTCCTCATCGGTCCACAGCGAGGCCACCCTTGGGCTCCTCAGGTGTCAGCTTGGCCCATTGCCCCCTGCACCTGTCCCCACTTGGTCCACTCCTCCTCCCCCACCCACTCAGTATGCTCAGAGGCCTGCCCGGGCGTTGGAGGAGCTGAGGTCGCTCTGAAGCCCTGAGGCTGCCCAGCAATGGCCGATGTGGGGGCTGTGGAGCCTGGGGAGGGAGCTTTGGGCGTGGCCTCTGCCCCACCCGGCAGCCTTCCTGGCCTCTACCCTGCAGCCTCCCTGGCCTCTACCCTGCAGCCTCCCTGACCTATGCTCCTCTTCCCAGCACAGCGGCCCCCGGGTCTGCACCTCCAGAGCCCACCCTGCCACCAGACATGGAGCCCCGGCCGCCTGGACCTACCCTCCAGCCATGAGCCTTCCCTGACCCACCCACCTGACACCAAATAAAGAACTTCTCCCCGAGCTCTGGGTGCCTATCTGTGGGGAGGGAGGGGCTTGCGCTGGCTCCCTGGGAGGCCTGCTGGGAGGGGGAGCCACCCGGGAAGCTGGGGAGACGTTGGCAACCACAAGAGGCATGACGTCCAACAGGCCTGTGGGACCGCGCGGTGTCCTGGAGGGGCCTCCTGCAGAGCCGCCCTCAGGTCTCAGGTTCAGCTTGGGACGGGCAGGGCACTGGGCAGGAGTGTTTGGGAAGCCAGTGAGGAGGGCGGGAGTGGGGACACAGCATCAGGGCTGCAGCCACGGGGCCACCGCATGGCTCTCGCCCCAGGATGATCTCAGTGGGATCCTCCAAGCCGCCCCCTTTAGCAGCCTGGGCTCAGTGGCAGCGCTGGAGAGAGAGGCACTGGTGCCTCCATCATCACCCCCAGAGTAAGCAGAGCCGGCCCAGGCCTCCAAGATCTTCGACCCACCCTGGCCTCCTTGTGTTTAGTACAGAGCGAGGGTCTGCATGGACACTGGGGCTGTGGGGATTCGGGGAGGCTGGTCACAGTGAGGGAGGAGAGGCCAACGCACCGGGGTGATAAACACGCCCCAGGAGCCACAAACCCAAGCGGAACGGGCCTCCTGGGGGATGAGCCTGCAAAGTGACAGCCTCTTCCAGGGCCACTGGCTGTGTACCAAGTGACCACTGCCCGCTCCCGCTGGGACCAGCAACCTCACCTCCCCACCTCCTGCCCAGATGTGGTTCAGGCAGAGGCTGCAGGGTGGCCCTGAAATGGACCAGGACAGCAGGGCCCAGGCGAGCCGAGGTGGAGCCAGCCTGGGTGCCCACAGGCTACATGTGGGGGACACAGCAAACCCCATCTTACAAAGACAAGGCTCACACTTTGCTGTCACTGGGTCTTCAAGGTGACAAATGTCTGTGATGCTGTCTAAAAAACAATAAATAATTTCTAGGCAAGAATTTCTAGAAAACAGAAGGAAGTCTTAGAGCAGAAACATTCTTGGGCTGGGCAAGGCTCCAGCTGTGGCCGTCGGTGCCAGGCATGGCTGGTGTTCCTCTCCTCCTCCTCGCCGCTGGCCAGGGCCTATGCTGGTTGCTTCTCCAGTGGGATAGCACCGACCTTCACCCCTGGGGTTCTGAGCCCCCAGGTTCTGCGCCTTGCAGGTCTGTGGTGCTGCTGTGCCAATTCACAGGCCTAGAGGCACCAGAGGGTGCCCAGAGAACCCTTAGTTCTGGACATCCACTCCCTGCCCCACTCATGGGCCAGTGCACCTGTTGCTTGGTGACAGGAGGACTCACTCATCCGCCAGTTGGTTGGCACGGCTATCATAGTATAGTACAAAAGAGACACGGGCAGAAGTTTAAAAAGTTCTGATTTTGCCAACAAAAGTAAAGGCATCATCTGGCTCGCTCCTGGCCCTGAGGAATGCTGAGCACCTGCCTAGAGGATGTCAGCAGGTGGGGCTGGAGCTGCCCATCTCACCTGGCATTGCCAAAGGCTGGGTGGGCAGACACCCCCAGCCGTCTGTAGATACACCCCCAGCCGTCTGAAGATACACCCCCAGCCGTCTGTAGATACACCCCCAGCCGTCTGAAGACACACCCCCAGCCGTCTGTAGACACACCCCCAGCCGTCTGAAGATCAGGCCCCAGCAGGAAAGTCCCACAAGGCCCAGGTGAGAACGGGGCAGAGGACATGGGGTCCCGGCCATCTGTTGGACACCGTGGTGCTTGCAGGTCTGGGAACAGGTCCCTGTTCCTGGTGTTTGTCTACGACACAGCACGCACTGGAGTCCAGCGTGCCGGGATTTAGCTCCGCGTTTCCAAGGACCCACTTTACTGGCTGACGCTTAGAGCTGTCTCTAGCCATTCAAACTCCTTCTTCCCTTCCTGCCTCACTGGCTTCCTCTCCGACCTCTCCAGTCTGTGGCTGTGCCACCGTGAGCTGAACAGGGTGCTTTCCTGTTTCATTCGCTTCACACAGGGGATACGGTGAGAGGCTAGGGGGCTGCAGATCACAAAGGGATGCTCCGGTGTGGCACACGTGGGTTTCATCTTCGGAGCTGCAGTTACTTCACACTAAAGTGAGAGGCTGGCTCCACCGCTCAGCCAGAGCGGCTGTGGCTTTCACCTGCGTGCACCGGCACGTTGGCACCACCCTGAGTGTCCCCGAAACGTGTGTCCATGTTGCATGCAGCGCCCAGCACTGCCCTAGATGCCCGACAACACGTGTGCAAGCTGTGCTCCAACTTCCGTGGTTTCCCACACACCCCTGTGATCAATGTGAGATCCGCGACCACGTATGCAGCCCAGGGGCGTCGGCTCCTCTGCGTGTCCCGTTTAACGAACATGCCTGGTGCATCCCCGGCTCCTCCGAGGATCCGTGGCAACCAGTGAGCTCTCGGTATTTGCTGAGAGAAATCACAAGTTCGCGAACCGATAAACATCTCTTTAGAGCCACAGTCTCAGACGCTATTGGCCACGTGACTCTCTTGGGGTGACTAAAGCGGCCAAGAAGCCCAGGCTGCGTCTTGCAAGAAACATTTCACTGGGAGGACTCCTTGAGGCTGAGAAGTGGGCAGGGTGCTCCTGCAGGAAGAACAGATGGCATCGAACGGCCTGGAGGGAGACAGCAAGGTACCCGCGGTTTAAACAGAAGCCACCCTGTAAAATTCTTACATTAAGGATTTTTTGTTTTTGTTCTTGTTTTTTTTCTTTGAGACAAAGTCTCACTCTGTCACCAGGCTAGAGTGCAGAGGTGCGATCTCGGCTCACTGCAACCTCTGCCTCTGGATTCAAGTGATTCTCCTGCCTCAGCCCCCCAAATAGCTGGGACTACAAGCACCCACCACCATGCCTGGCTGATTTTCGTATTTTTAGTAGAGATGGGGTTTCAGCATGTTGGCCTGGCTGGTCTCAAACTCCTGACCTCAGGTGATCTCCCGCCTCAGCCTCCCAAAGTGCTGGGATTACAGGCACGAGCCACCGCGCCCGGCCTACATTAAGAATTTAGGTGACCGTACGGCAGCGTTGATTTCTCCTTTGGCACAGTTCTATGAATTTGAAGGCATGCATAAATTTGTGTTAACACCGCTATAGTCCAGATGCAGAACAGCTTCACCCCCAGATACCTCCCCGTGCTCTCCCTTTATAGACACCTCACCCACCTCCCGGCAGCTGCAGAGGTGTCTGTCACTCCAGCTGTCTTCCCAGGAATGTCAGGTCAGCAGAGCTGCACTGCGTGTGGCCTCAGGGACCGGCTGCTTCTGCGCAGCGTACGGCCCCCCAGATGCTGTGTCTGTAATCTCCAGTGGGGAAGCCACACCTACCTGATGTCCGCTGACTGTGGCGCTGAAGGCCCCTCCCTGCACCAGATGGTCCAGGTCTAAGGCTGCTCAGGCTGGTGCTGGTGAGTTGCCAGGCTCTTGAGGAGGCGATGTCAGCGCCGCGTCTCCCTCCTGAGCCTGGCTGATAGGATGCGGTGGTGACACCCATGCCAACTGCCCCTCTGTCTCCTTGTAGGACCATCATGTCCTGTTCGTCACCTCTGTGACTCCCTGGTCCTGGGGCCGGCTCCCCTCCTCAACACGTCTCCTTGTCTTTGTACATAGCAGGTGCAGCAGCCCGCCTGGAGGCAGAGTGGGCCAAGGGGATTTGGGGCCCTGGACCACAGGCCCAGCCTGGACCGCTCCCTCCCGGGAGCTCTTGGGTTGCGTCCCCCATGTCCTGCTGAGACAGTTCTGGCCTCTCTGCTTCACTCACGCAGGGCTTCACGGTCTTCTAAGCCTCTGGGAGCCAGGCAGTCCAGCACAGCAGGCTCCACGGTACCTGGCAGTGGGCAATGTCCAGGGCATGGGGGAGGGATCCCCTGTCGGCAGACGCCCCCCACACAAGCCTTTACCTCCAGGGCCCAGCACCCCAGGAACCTCTGTGTGCTCCTGGGTCCCACAGTGCATGTCAGCCCCATCCTGCAGCTGCTTCAGGGAAGCCCCCTGCCCGGAACAGCATACCCCCAGATGGGGCATCACAGGCTGGCTGCAGTCGGCCATTGGCACCGAGGCCTCGAGCCGGGCAGGCATCTTCACAGCAAGCTTTGCCCTCTGTGTGGTCTTTAAGAGTTGGGGGGGTGTTCTACTTTAACAGGTGTGAGGACCCTTCCCCAGGAGTTCAGGGGGTTGTGGCTCTAAGGTTCTCAAAAGCGTCTCCCTGGACACCCCAGTCCCAAGCCTCAGGGTCTCACTCCTCCCGGCCCGGGGTTCTCACTGGCATAGGAGATTTGCTGAGGCGGCACATTCAGCCTTCTCCGAAGTTCTCCCCCTTCCTCAATGGGTTCTTGGTTTTTTACTCTGCCTACTTTCTGGCCAAAGGACATGAGTGACTCAGGAGACTCAGTCCATGTAGACTACTATCACAAAATGCCATCAACCGGGTGGCTTAGAATCCAGGGAAATTCGCGGGAAATGTATTTCTCTTCAATGCTGATGATGCCAACCCATCTGCTCTCCTTGACTGGTCGCCCTTCTGGTGCTCCAGCTGAGAATTCTTTGCCTCACCCCAGGTCATGATGATCTCTCTTTGTTTTCTTCTGAATGTGTCGTGGACTGACGTTACGTGGACACCTGTGACCGCGTGGGAGCTGGTTTTGTGTGAGGCGGGCATGTCACTCGTGTCAAGGACCGTCTGTCTGCCTGTGCACCTGCAGCTGTTCCAACCCCAGTGGGTGAAAAAATTGTCCTTTCTCCATAGAATCAAGCCGGGTTCCATTAATAAATGACCCTTGTCTGTGCAGCTCTGTTTCTGAATGCTCTATCCCGTTCCATCATGCGTGGAACGGATGCTTCCAACACACATGCTCACACCCCTATAGACACACACATGGAGGAAATGATTTCTTAGCCACCCATGTGGCTGCTGCCCGCATCCCCAACCTGGCCTGCCAGCCTCCATCCACACGTTTCCTCCCACAGAGCCTGCTGGGCTGTGGACAGACACTGCCTCTAGAGCCCCACAGGT